TAAAAAGCTTTTTCTTTTTGAGGCAAAGATCAGTAATAATTTAATGCGGCTCCGTGGACAACTTGGGGTAGTACTCCTGGAAGCATCCAGGGACCACCAGGGAGATGGAAGAAGGCTTGGAAAAAAATTGGTTACTGAAAATACTAAATAATAGAAGTCGCAGGTAATAGCATTTTGTTTTGCCTACAAATTAATAGCGATTCGAAATTCAAAAAAAAAAAATTAATTAAACACATATAATATATATGTAAATGGATAGTTCTGTTTTTATTTTAAATGATGTCCATGTACGGTGTGATTAGGTCATAATACTTAATATGTTATGTTTATTGTTGTAAGTACCACTTTAATTGTATAATGTGTTATTATCATTGTGTAATCATAATAAATAACGACATATGAGTTACTATAATTATAATAATCATAGCTAAGTGTTCTGTAATAACAACTTTAAGATGGACTCAAATGAAAATAAATACATACTTAAAAAAAATTACATACGTTCACGTTAATAGGTTAAATTTTCTCATTTTATTAAAGGTTAACCGCATTGCGATTTTGTAATTTCTCCCATTAAATTTATTAACATAGGTGTGTCCTGAAACTTGTTATCAGTGACTCGTTTCCCTTGGGCGGGTAATTATTAATTAATTGGTTATACATATTAAATGTATTTCAACTAGGCTGTATGCATATTTTTTCTTATTCGGTTATATATAAATTTCATTTTTAGATATGGCTGTATCGACTAAGACCCTGCCAGTTCCAACAAAAATTAACCAAAAACAAAAGTAATTTGACAGATTATCTTTTAATTTAGCTATATGAATTTCATCATCCTAATAAAAATCATCATTTTTAGTAAATCTGATAAATAAAATTAAACTTACCCATTTTTTAATCCACTATATTTATAGATAACTAAAATTTATAAAGAACTCTACAACTTTATATATTTTTTGAACACAATTCACTTAAATTAATGATATATTTTGTTTTTGGTTAAAAAAGTTTAAAGCTCACTGTATCTAAACTTTTTTGTCACATTCGATATAAAAAGAATAAGAACGCTGTTTGCGTTCCAAATTTAAAAGCGTACTGGGCTGTGGACCTCTGTGTATTCAATATAAACCTTACTTTGTATCGGTGGTGGTCGTTAAGAAAAAGGCAATATTGCGGCTGCTTCATCGCTTATTTCAATTTCCATTGACGCTGTAGCTTTTGCCGTTGGATAATATAGTGATAGTATGAAGGCAATAATATCATACGTTAATTTTAATCGTGTGTGTAAAGCGAACGTTAGATCATTTTATATAAAAGAATATACCTATAATAAATAGAATAGGTTTTTTATTTTAATTTTCCAATAGATTCTTCCCACCTTAAAAATAAAGACTTGGGGAAGGGGGGTCGACCCCCCTTCCCCTAAGTCATTTTATTTAATAAAATAATGTTACCTTTTCAAAATTATGCTTCTGCTGTCTTTTTTATTTCAATGCTTAATTTATAAAATAACAGTTTTGCATTTTTTCAGAAAAATGGTCATAATTCAAGAAATAATTCAGGCTTTTTAAAATATCTGGAAATGTTTTTGGGTTTTACTTACTCTTGGCGGATTTGAAGTTGCAACTTCGATTTTTATATTATTTATTTATATCGTTATTTAAGAAAATTACCTATTACAAAGTGAGAAATGTCTGTTTTTCTAGTAGGTTTTGACTAATTTCCCGAGATTTTTTATTCTTTATATTCTGCTTTTAGATATTTCTTTTTCTGTTTTACACGGTTTTCTAAATTAGATGATCTTCAAAACTTCATTTATCCCCAATCGTAAATAATAATAGTAATACTGTGCGATATTTCCAGCTCGCCTCTTTTAGTAGTTTCATTAGCGTTGAAAGATCAGTTAGTCCGTCTGTAAGTCAACTTTGCCTTTTAAAAATATTGACTATATACAATTTTTTATACTAAATAGCATGTATATGCTAAATCACTGTGGAGAACAAAGAGTTTCGAAGTCATCGATGCTTATCAAAATAAAACTGATACTATTCACAAAACATCAGAGTATACAAATCTGACTAATTTCTATGATTTTAAACCTTAATAAGTTACTCGTTAGTTTTGAAATTTAACGTTTATTTTTTGTAATTTGTGCATTAATTAGATGTATTGAGTCCATGCAGTATTTAAAAGCGGATGGTCGTTTTATGTAACTTACAGTTTGATGTTGAGTGTTCCTATTGACATAGAATCTAAATATCTGGCATTTTATTGTAATTTTTTCCGGGGGTTAATTCTAAACATTAGTTTCAAAATTGACATTTAAATTGGTTCATATAAATTCCACATATTTATACAAATTCTGCAAAAAAATGTAACTAAAAACATTCAGATGGTTATTGCCGCTGACAGAAGAATATGAAGTTTAATAATCGTTTTCGGCTATAGTTTTTAGCACTTTATTAGCAAAAAGAGCGGAATTTAACTAATTTGCTGTATTAACAGGTCTCAAAAGACTTCAACATTATGTAAAATGACTTTCACCATAGTGCAGTTATTTTAGAAAAATGTTTTCTACCATATTAATATTATGTCTGTATAGTATTGTGATTTAAAAATGGAATGTTTCCTGGTAGTATCTGGTATGTACACAGAACAAGGGAAATGCGCCGACAATCGTTGTTTGTTGTGTGAATTTTATCGCAGATTTGATTTACTCAGCGTAAAGATTTAAGATATTATTTAGTGTCCATTAGAAATGGTATTACGAGATTTTTTTCAGTGCTAATAATTTTATGCTCGATTATGTCTTTAGAAAGTATTTTTTATCAAATCTCTAAGGTTTTGATTAATATGATCTTATTTTCAATCATTTTCTAGCAACTGTTATTGGAATTAATTTATTTGAATATGCTCTCTTTATTTTATCTCGCCGTAATTGGTATTGTTTTAGTGTAAGTAGTTACTGCTTGTCTAACATGTTGAGTAGGTAATTTGTTTTTATCTGTATACATAATCTGATAGAAAATATCCAATCGGTACTGAAGAAGCATGTCGATATGGACACATTATTAAATAGTTTAAAAGTATACTTGTCCATTCGTTCTATTTATAATTCGGAGTAGTTGTGTTTTTCAATGGAAACTGTGAAAAAAGGTTTCCTGGCTTAAAATGGATAATTTGTCAATTTTCTTTGTATAAAAATGATCTTTTGATAAAATAATACTTTAAAACCAAATCAAAACAGAGTCCTAATATTCTTTTTTTTTAAAAGTATTTTTCTATAAATCTATATGGCATTTTGAATACCTATAATGAACAGAAAGAAATTAATGTTCCAAATTAATAATATTTTACTTCTGTTGACATTGATCGGTTCACTCTTGACAATTTTATAATAATCGCGAGGCGTAGATCACAATCTATCCTTTTTTGTGTGAGAGTTCAAATTTCACTAGAACAATGGAATTCGAGCGTAACAGCCAGTGTGATGTGAACTAAGACGATATAATCTATGTTTTTTAATTACATAATTGTTATGCGACCTTTGCGGAGACGGTTATTTTGACTTAAAAAGTTGATTCAAAAATGGAACAATATAGGTAGCTAAGTCCATATCACTCATGTGGCGAAAGAAATTTTTTTAAATTTCTTCCGTTAAATGTAATAAATGTAAGGAAAATCATCATCGTTCCAGTGGAATATTAATATTATAATATATTAACCCATATTATTATTGTGATAAGCTGACAATTACTGACTACCTTAGAATAGGTACCTTAGTATTAAAATGGTAATATGTTGCAAAGCCTTTTTTTATTTAGTTTAAATTTGTTAACATTCAGGAAAGCTAATATCTAAAAGAAAAAAACAAAGCTTTGAAAGAAAGTAGTAATATCTATAAGATTTTTTGTAACAGAATTTTATGAATTTCGACGGGTCAGCAACATTAAACCAATTTTTTGGATTACCTGTCTTGTGCTATTGTCCACGAGGATATATATGAAAAGGAATTACATAAGCACATCAGAGGTTATTTTTATTGAAAATATGCATAATTCAAACGTAACTTCAAAATATATTTAAAATAATTCATAAATAGGTAATGTAACGTTAACATAAAACAGATTTCTAGTCTTGTTTATTTAAAAATTCAAGTCAAATTACTTTTTTGAAGTAAATGATAACGATATGATAGTTATATATAATTTCAATCAACAGTCCAACCGGCTCGTTGGTCTAGGGGTATGATTTTCGCTTAGGGTGCGAGAGGTCCCGGGTTCAAATCCCGGACGAGCCCAACAACTTTTTGATTTTTTTTGTGTGTTATAATTTATATGAGGAACTTAATTCATTTTTTGCAAATTAAACCTATAATTTTATTATTTTCATGTATGTTCATTCTAAAGCATTTGCGAATAAAATATCACATTAAAGATTTTTTTATATATTATTACCTATTTGCTTATTACTGCATTATTTAATTAAAAAATGTTATTTCTTATTGAAATGGTGCCGTCTTTCTGTTTAGTTTTGTATTTTGTTAACACCCATGTTACAAAACTAACAACAGCGCCATCTATCATTAGCTTTGATAAATAAAATTGAGTATGATATAAACTATGATATCTAGCAGCTTCCACACCCAGTCAGCATCCGCAAGACCTGTGTACCGCCTATACCTAAAATTTAGATGTATCATCCTTAGTTGTTAGTTACAGTGCCAACCAAAAATTTTTGGGATGGCCGTGCATAAAGTTGCTGATAGTGCAACCAGTAATTTCCAAACAATCTTGCTCGTTTAGAAGCCCCTTACACAAAACCCATTTTTTAAATGAATTAAAGGTAGCTCGACTCAAAGTTAGTATTAAGTTGTAATTGGCACAATTTCATTTTATATTTAATAAATTCTCAGCGGCTAACGCGGTCTATCTGCGACGCGGCAATTAAGCAACTTTTGCAAAGCATGGCACAGGATGGGTGACCATATTTATATTGTCTCAACTTCTTCGTGCTCATGGCACGTAAAAGTTGAGACAATATAAGGATTGCCTGTGCCTTATGGGGACATTAACATGCCGATGATGTAAGTAATCCGTCGAACTAAACCAAGAGTAGTATTTGAGTTGATGATTCAGCAAAACGGTAGTATCGGTTATCACTATTACGTACGAGTAACATTTTAAATACGAAATATCTACTTACTGATTCGAAAGTTAGATGAGCTGTTTAATAATATTATTATCAAGTCATTTGCTTTTGCAAGTCATATTTAGGACCGCAATAAGCAAGTTATGTATTCATTGAAATCTTTTGGAGTAAGGAAAGAGTATTTACTTTAATTTTCTTTATTATAAACATGTTCACCTAGATATTGAGTGTTCAAAACATTTTTAATTGTAATTTGGAAAGATTACGAATATTTTCAAATTATTTAGATGTTATTATGTTGGTGGTAGTAATATTAACGGTTTCTCTTTTTTATTTTTCTTTCTAATTTAAACAAATATGGCTGTGACTTTGAATGATCCTGACGCAATGTACCAAATTAATTTATTACTTTCTGTTTATCTACATATTTTAGTAAGTTAGTATTTTTAAGAATTATTGTAGTGTCTAGTTAGTATTGTAGTTCTATGATTAATCAATTTCATTGTAAATTCTTCAAATTTTTATATTTACAGTGCGACCACGAGTAATTAGAGTAAAAACTGAATATCAGTGCTTTACTCTTTTAGTAAATCTGGACCTGAAAAGCATTAGGTCGGATGTGCAGAACCAGCTAAAATCACTTATCGCCATAACGTTGCTACACTCTTTTTTCTCTTCCGGCAAATTAACTCTTGTATGTTTGTGCCTTTTTACTCATGAGCAACAGTCATGCATAAAGTCGGATCAGACGACTTTTTCAAATATTTTGATTGCATTTAGCTATTTCTTGTGTGTGCACGATGCAAATAAACAATTTATCTATCTATCTATGTTATATTGGTTAAAATATAGAAATAATACAAAAATTTAAATAGAAAACCATGATATAATTTCATTTAGCTTTAAGATTAACATTCATATGATCAACGTTTAAAAAATCCAATAAAACTATATACTGGACATAAAATAATCATCTGGTGAACAAGATTCGTTGTTATCGACGGGTTTGTACCGGTATATCTTATTTTTAGTACCGATAATAATGTTATTCTTGTGGTCAAAAGCCATACCAGTTATCTTGAAACCGAGTTGACCAATTTTAACAGGTAAAATACTCTTCGTGAACAATCTAAACAAAGAACCTTTAACAGCTACTATAGCCTCATCATTATTGTTTAGTTGTAGAATATACTTTAGTTCTCTTGTGAAGCCTTTATACTGTATAGGTTCGTAGTAATCAATAGAGAAAAAATATAGTCTTCCATCCACGTATTCGTAGAAAGCGTTCCCCTTGCTGTCCAAAACGAAACTATAAGCTTTCGGTATTTTATCATATCTTTTAACAGCGGCCGAGCCGTTCATGAATTTAAAGATCTCATGATTTGTCCCAGTTGCTATGTACATCTGTCCATCAGCTCTATCAATGAAAATGTTCCGGACATCGTCATCGCCAATAGGTCTTTCTGCTGTTATTTCAGTTCTAGAATAATCATATACTATAAGCCCTTGGTTTGTCCCAATATATATAGTGTTAGTGGCTTCATCTATCCCAACGCATTGTCCAATTACGTCATCAGAAACGGGAAGTTCTTTTATGCCTAATGCTCCATGCTTTAATAGATGAATTCCTTTTGTATAATTCCTTTTGTGTAGTATGAAAAATATATTTTCAGTCCTAGGATCTATCACCATGCCTGTAGGATAACCGTCTATTGTTGCGATTAGATGTCTTTTATAATATTCGTTTCCAATTTTTGTTTTCTCACATTTTTCGGCACTGTCTTGTGCTATGAATATGAAGAGAACGGGTATAACAGCTGCAAATGTTTGTTTTAAGTTTCGCATCTTGTATGCATCGCCTGTAGTATTCCTATAAAATAAAGGTTATTTAATTAATATATTACTGATTTCATTAACCATAAGCATCGTATAGGTAATATTAGCTAAATACTTATTATAATACTGTGAAACATAAACAAATTTAATCAGATCTTTTCAATTAAGAATGGGGATTGATAATTTGTAAGATAATAATTTATTGAAGCTTTGCACATTGTAATAGAAACTATATCTTGTGTAAAAGCCTATAATTTTCACCAAGCTTCAATAAAATTACAAGTACAAAGCACAGATAGAAAAAAAACATGGGTAAATCCAATATAATTATTTAAATTTCGAGTTAGATATTAGAAGTAATGTCTGCATGAATGTTTCAAGATTTAAATATATATTACCTAAATGAGATTAATTAGTAAAATGAAATCTCATTACCTGGACAGCTGCTTCGATGCCGGAGTCAGTCGGAAGAATATCAAGATTGCCTAAGTGTAAGCCGATCGTTTTGGATTTATAAAACATAACTCCTATTGTGTAATTGATGATGACTCTTTAAACATCATACGAGGCGTTAAACATATTGTACAGGGTGGCTATATTAACAGTACCATTCCATGTTAAAAGTTAAATCAATTCAAAAACTATTGTTTTATGTTTTTCATTAGTTTTATTATGTGTTTTTTCCGCTCTCCGCTTCTTATAATTTCGGTCTAGTTCTGATGATAAAAAGTATGATTCTGATTTCGATGTACTTATGTATCTTTTACTTTATCAGTATAGATCACGAACATAATATTTTATTTTATAGATTTTAACAAAAGTTATTTTTGTAGTATTGATCGATATATTAATTCTTATGTCATAATTAATTACTAAGTAGTATAGATGTATGAATTTATGAAATTAGTTATGTATGAAATTATGTACATCCATACGTTTTGAAGTATATTTAACAATTTTAAGTACATATTTAGGATTATTTTAGTGTTTAAAATTATAATTTCCCATATAAATATAACAGCACCCTATATCTGAAGTTTTAGAAGTACAATAGTGATGTAACACGTTAATTTTAGGATCTTCTATTGTTCTTAATATTCTAATAGTTTAGGAAAAATTGTTACTATTCTATACTATTAGCAACCGGCTAAACAGTCGTCTCAGAATTATTGGGAAGTCGAATTGGTATGTAGTATATTATTTAAACGTTTTCGATAAATTTTATTTTATAAGTAAGAACTTAGAGTCTTAATTGGTTTACCGAAAAGATACAAATAATGATATAAAATATGGGGAGTAGGTAGTTATCCAACATTAATATTTTATATTTTGAAAAGAAAAATTCTAGCTTTTCTCACAAAGATGTAGCCGTGAAAAATCTTCAGCCTATTGTTTTAGTATTCATTTAATTCTTTACAATCATGTATATAATGTTATTAGATAAATCTTGTGTAGTTTCAAGATCTTTACGAGATCGCTTTCAAGTGTCATTTGTATTAATAAAGTTTATTTTTGCTAAGTTCCAAATTTTAGGAGGTTACTATAGATAGATACCAAAAAGACATTCAGAAAACATCTAAGATTACCCTCAAATGATCAAATCCTAAACAGGATTATGACAAATCATGCTTTGTAAGTAATGCTATACAAGTATGATGCAGCAAACAAAATCTATTCAGGCATAATCGAAATGCCACCAATTTTAAATATAGACTTTACCTTTCAACTATAGTTTTGCTACTAAAAAAATATAAGGAGTTAATATCTTTAATATTTGTTGGCGAGTGGCTGGAAAGACACCATCCTTTTTGATAAGATTTTTTGTCATATTTTTAAATTTGTTCTTTCGCTTAATGATTTTTGCTTAAGTCTTTTTATACCATTTATTATTATATTTTATAATTTTTTATTATATATCCATTGGTTCTTATTTTCAGTATTCATTCCTACTAGTTTTCAATATTCTTTTTAGAGCTTTAAAGGAATAAATAATTGAAAAAACATTAACAATAGTCTATAAAGGTTTAAATATATAATAACTATGAATTATATAAATTGTTTATTCACATTCATCAGCACTGTATTTATAAATAACACTGTTAGTAGCTAAGAATATATCGTCCTCATCAAAAGCTATTCCTGACGGTACAAAATCTAAGTTCATTAATTTCTTTGGTACGAGATTGTCAGGTCTTAGAAGATACAGTCCGTCATTGGCTGCTAAAATAACTCTATTGTTATTATCCACAGCCATTGCTCTAGCACTATTCTTGCTGATACCTACAAACTCAATGGGTTCGTGGAAATCTTTTAATAGTACTTTTACATATTTAGTGTTACATTCATAATAAATATTGTCTTGAGCATCGACTGCAAGTATGAAAGCGCACGGGACGTCTTCAATCTTGTTCTTTTCATTTTTCTTCAAATTAATCGTATACACTTCGTTCTCAGGATATAATACAGCGTATAATTCATCGTTGTGTTGCGGTTTGAATAGTAAAACTATGTCTTCGTCTTTCATACTCACGAAATTGGCTCTGTCTGTTTGGTTTAGTACATTGAGACCGTCATCACTTGCTATATAGACTTTATTATTTTTAGCATCCACAGCTGCTGCTTGACCGTTGACGTTGTCAATTTTGATCGGCATACCATTCCTGAGAACGTATTGATCCATTTTGGTCTGTTCGTCATCGTTATGTAGAGAATCTATATCTATCAATGTAAAGAATAGATCTCTTGTGTTTGGATTCACAACTAAGTTAGTAGGAAGGCCTTTGATGGTCAGTACTGCAATTCGTTCGTATCGCTGGTTTCCATACGTATAAGGACAAGGTTCGGAAGCCACTGTCGCTATTATAATTAGCAAATACTTCAGCATTTTTTTGACTTCTAAAAAATATAAAATGTCACACATCAGATTTAGCTTATTAATTTCAATGCCTGATAGAATAGTTAACGCAATGACTTGTGGTTCAATGGATATTAATTAGCTTTGCTTATATGGTATTTAATTACTAATATGAAATTTGCTATGTTAGTTATAAGATCAGAATAGTAAAGCCAATTCAATCAATCAATACCTAAGGATAAGAGAATAAAGAAAATATTTATCTAAAAAGTAGCTCTTATACTACAAACAAACGTAAGATGATGACACCTTATCAGAATTATACATTTGTGAAATAATAATATTTATTAATGCAAATTTAATGTACATAAAGTATTTTTTATTACCTTAGAACAATAAATTGAAGTGTAAACTTCTCGTTAAAAATATAAAATGAAATGTATAAATGATCTAAGAAAGATAAGGTAAAGATGGAAGAGTATATTTTTATAAAATTATATTAACAATTTTATAAACCAAGTAATTTATCTGAATAAAAGAAAACTTACGTTTGACTATATAATAGCGGCGTCCACCAAATTATAATCCAAACTGAATTTAATATAACTCCTCAACACAACACATGAGATATTGTGATCTATTTTAATAAGTTTATCATTAGTTCAATGTACTTGGAATCTGGGACGAATTAACAATTATTGTAACACATCTTGCTCTAACTATAATGTTATTTAACGGTTAAATTAATAATGGAATAATTAGTTTACATTCTAAGTGAAAATATGTTCGTAAATTCGTAGCTATGTTTGTTTCGTAATGTTAATAGTTTGCAGTCTAGTGGGCTCTATATATGTAGTATGATAGGAAGGAAGGAAACTTAGGTGTGAGTTTCCATAATCCTATTATAGTTTGAGATTATCGGCCATTTTAAAAAATTATTTGATATTTCTTTCAATTTTCTTTCTGAGGTGGGTATGAAATAATAGTAAATAGAATTTATATATGAAAATTTATTCAATTTTAGCGCATATCCAACCTTAAAAAATGATTTTTATATTTTCCGAAGCATGAAAACTAAGGTGTTTACTGCCTAACGTCATTTGTTTAAGTACTTTCTTTTTTAAATAAATCTTCATTCTGTTAAGCTGTGTTTTGTATGTGGCAAAAACGTGTCGCAAAGTTTTGTTTTAAGACGTCTATAATTCTTAAGTACGTACTTATAATTTTTATTCTGAATAAATAAAAAAAGTATTTAGTCTTACCATAGGCAATTCCTACATATTTAGGCGATTCCTAAGTTAAGTGAAAACGGGCATTCGTGTTTCACCGTAGTTCATATCTTTTTTAGTTGGATTCGATCATCGACCGGTATTGTTACGGTATTTTTGAATGATTGAACCACAATTTGTATGTCATTTGATTGTTAGAGCATTCAATTTTGGGAGTTTATTTGCCAGTTGCACAAACACCCATTAAAATTTTCACACGTTTAAAGCGACATTCCCCATGCAAATTTGATATCCATTAGAGCTTTAAAGTGTCATTATACCTTAATGACCGTATATTAGATTAATATATTATTTAAACTAAATTTTTTTCAAAATAAACCTTTTCCTTTTAATGTAAAAGGTCTGCGTTTGGTAATATTGCAGCGATCTACAAATGCGTCACTTTCTCCGGATAGTATAATGGAAACGTTAGTTTCATGGTTTAATGCTTTACCCGATGGAATTGCGTGTAGGAACTATTTCAGCGAATAACCGAATTCATCAGTTTTAGACCATTTCCTTGCTGTTAGGGATTATGTCAATGGTAGTTTATAGTTCTTAGTATTTATAATATGCTAGGTTAATAATGACACGTGACAAAGTGAATGGTAATAGCTGTTATTATTGGGCCTTTGTGCCACCACAAAGATTAGTTCTTTATTCCAAAAATGCTTTTTGTATGGCTATACGTATTTACAATAAGCTGCCAAAATACACTAGCATGACTTTGACGAAATTCTAAAAGCAACTGCATGAATATTTAATCAATAAAATGTATTATGTAAATGTATAACATTAAAGATTTCTTAAAGGATAAAACTGGCAATTAAATTTAGATGACACTTAATTTGACAACTGTAATCATAATTTGTAAATACAATATTATAGTTAAATGGTTAATTATTAATCTTTGACATGGTCTACATTGTAACATTAAATTCTTTGTATTTTATATAATGACATTTAAAAAATTTGCACGCTGTTTATATACTGTAGAATATGAGAAACTATTGTTAATAACTATGTAATATCATTCGTACCATATAAATCGCAAATAAATAATAATTATTATATTATTATTATTATACAAACCTCGAAAAAGGTTGTAGTCACAGCCACCTGAAAACAGGCCATGTGCGAGTCGAAGTACAAACTCCTACTCAAAATAATGATGAAGATTTTGTACAGTGTACAGTTTTATGATGACAATTAATCTTAGTAGATCATGAAACTGTAAGTTGAAAAACCTAATAGAGTCAATTATGGTCCCCACATACGGTACGATCCGTCGTTTCAGACCGATCGCAACGATGAATCACTTAGGTATGTCCAAATTGTAAGCGAGGTTGATCCTAGACGATATCATAATAGCAACAGAGACTTAATTACAGTAGCACAAACGCACAAAAATTTAATGCAACATTGGCGATAAAGTCGTCATTAAACCTTAATTAAAGTTTGTACAATCAGGTGGCTCTTGGCGATCTAATATATACACACACTACACGTCAGGTCACTACAATATTAAAATTATCTCGAATGATTTTGAATTCTACTTATTATTTGAATTAAAATGTATAATCAAGTAGAAAAATTTGTGAGTATGATTGCTGATTGCAACGACGAATCCAAAAAGGCGTTGAGAGTCAATATACCGCGATGAATCATTACGATTTTCTTCAGATGTGACTATGAGTCGTACCGTATATAGGGCCCTTTAGGGTTGTAATATAACATAACATCTCCAAAACAGTGGAACCGCTGCCGTTGCTATCTGATTGTTGAAATTTAATATTTTACTTTTGTTACAGACCATCATAATGTTTTACATGACAATATTATTGTTGTTCGTGACAGCGATACACACGCGTTATATTATCTCGAAGAAAACTAATAGTATGTTCAGAAGTGATCAGATAATATTTGCATCCGATTTCAATATCACCAGGCTTTTGGTACCAGCGAATGGTAACAAATACGTTACTACCGAAATGTCCGATATACCATCAATATTCTTCACCATATCCGATCCTAAATTAGAAGGCGGAAGTTGTATTTATGTGCTAGAAGGTTTCGCTGCTTACGAAGTTCTCGAAGGAGGTCGTGACGCAACAGCTGATTACACTCACGACGCCACAATATTTTTCGGTACGAAAGAAGGTATATACAAATATTACCCTGATTCACTTTCCGCTAAGAAATATGGCCCGTTTCGCGATGATATTATACAATTGCAAAAAGCTAATGGTACAGACGCTATATACATATTGAATACCGAAAACAGAATATTTAAAATTCAAAAGAATGGTACTGTCAGAACAAGAATACGTAGTATAACATGCGCCTCAGAATTTGTTCTGGATACTTCTAATAATATTTACTATTTAGCGTGTGACGATCATATGCCACATATTGTGAATGCTGATGGGAGTCTCATTTCTGTAACAGCTAGTGTTACAGAAGATTTTAAAGAAGTTAAGTTACTTAGGCCACCTTTCATAATGGAGAATGGTATACCTTTCTTTGCTGATGGTAATTTATACATACTATACGCGAACGGTACGAGTGAAAAGAAAGATTTCTACTTAGAGGAGAAACCGTCCGCTTTTAGTATCGATGCGGCTTTGTATCTGGTAGCTGCGATTGATGGTAAGATATATGAATTTAACGTCATTGAGGTCCTCTTGAGATCCATGTTCGGAATGTCCCCAGAGTGGCCAAAAGATGTAACTAAAATGGTTATGTCCATCATTGACGCTACAAAAGAGAACATGAACGGCTTTTACGATAAAGGAATGACTAGTTTAATTTAATATTGGAAACATTAATTATTGAGTGTGACTAGTGTTTTTATCATGGAATGCATAATAAACTATTATAGTTAACTTTGTTTCTGTTGTTTACTTATGTTGTCTACCTTTTCATATGCTTAAGTTTTTATTTGTTTAAAATCCTGTTCTTAAACTTAATAACTTCAGTTGTCGTGTTAAAGAGTGTGCAGTGTCGTCCGCTGCCAAGAGCCTTTCATAGAACGGAGGTAATCCTCATAGAGAGGAGAGCACGGTGATGGAAACATAAAATGACGTGACAGAAAATTATATGAAAAACTTATCGTTGTAAATACCTCGAGTTACCATATGTCTAATTTTGAATTCTACCCTTCAATGTATTACTATAGTCTTTAAAATGAAGCGGAGAATGATAGTTTTATAAAACTTGCCGTGTTGTAGTAATAAATTATGTATATGATTATATCCGACGAAAGATGCGTTGCGTCTTATCAATTGGATACTTCCGTGAAGTGCTTGTCAAATTTGAACCGACACTTAATATTTATTACTATAGGTAAGGGAACAATAACGGCACAAACTCTTAATTATATTAAATTTATAGACACATGTTTAAATACTAACGGAATTCCTTTCTTGACCTAGTAGCTAGACTTTGGATATCATCAACTTTTTCACCAAGGAAACTTTTTAAATCTTCAAGCAGTTCACCCAAAATGAGAGCCAAAATATTGAATTCGTAAATTTTCTTGTTGTAAGCGTAATATTGTATGAGAGTAGCTTCCATAGAGTAAGCTGTGGGATAGACGTTAAAATTTACTTCTGAATAATCCGCAGTGCCATTTGGGAGTATAGTGAAAGCTTTCTTTCCAATAATTAAAGGAACACCTTCATCTAAAACGAAAGGTGGTCTCACCAACTGCACATAAGAAGGATGGCTAGGAATGCCTTCGATCTTTTTTACTCCGTCCTCAGTGTAAACGTAGACTTGGTCTTCTGTATCGACGTAAAACAGATTTCCCGCATAGTCCACAGTTATTTGTTTGGCATTTTGAATTTCACTCAATTGCTCTTTGACTGTACCTTCTTCTGTGACTTTGTACACTTTGTTATTATTAGTGAGAATATATATAACGCCTGTGCTATTCTCAACTTCAATACCGACGATATCTTCATTGACTGTGCCGTATTTCTCTGCTCCATTCGTTTTGTCGTTGTACAAGTAAATGCCGTCTGATGCAGCTAAGTATACATCTTTGTTGTCTCCATTAGGAGCAGCCATGTCTTTTCCGTTTTCGAGAAGTTTTGTCGCTTTTCCGTTCTTTAAAATAGAAAGTCCTTTGTATACTGTATCTCCTTCATTGTTTTTATCGCCTTCCACAAAGAATATGTAAACATTCGCTTCGTCATCGTCATCATCCTCGCTAAAGTTTAATTCGTTAAGTGGAGTAAAAAGTCTGATTATATTGTTTTGTGCTGTGTACTGAACTAAGGAGTCGGGAAAGAAATCATCAGTAATAATCATGACATCAGACTTGGTGACAGGGTTGGAACATGCCAAGCCCACTAGCAGTAGCGCCGCGAAGGTTGTCAAAATACGCATCTTGCCTGTAATGAGATAAGTTATGTTTTAAAGAATGTTTGCAACATTTCAACGAAAGTTAAGGGCGGTATGCAATTTATAAAGAATTCATACTTTTTGAGGTTAATAAATAAAGGATAGGACATAGTAGAAATTCATTTTCAATAATTGTAATTGTGTTATATATAATTGTGTAAACTAAAAAAAAGAAAAAAGGAGAAATTCCTTCGTAAAAATGATAAATTTGAGATGAAAACTGCTCTTTAAGGAGTTTTATCATACAGATTTAGAAAGTTTTTAAAAATGTTCAAGGAAGAGGATTTAATATTCTTAATGAATAATGCTTAAAAATCTTCTTGGCCCCTGGCACCCTGAGATGGGATTCGAACCCATGCCCTTTCGCAATTAAGGCTCTAACCCTTCTTCTTCTTCCTTTATTAATGGCTTATCTGGGCATCTCGCACAATTCTGCCAATGTCAAGTGAATAAATATATTTCTACATGTAAAATGAAAATGAAAAGAATGAAGATGGCGATGACGTCAAACATGCTGAGAAACCTGTCCTGCTCTAACCCAGCTACCCAGAACCTAACAGAGCTGATGAATCTATCAAGCACTTGTCACTTTTCGCTACTACAGAGCGTATTGTCATCAATGTTCAGGGAATCCACCCAAACAGCCCGAAAGAAATATTTTTATCGATAAAGATGAAAATTTCTAATTATTATATTCGATCAATTTCGCGTTCACAATGCTATATCGAAAAATATTCTTGATGAAAAATGCTTAAAAACTCCACTGGTCACACTGGTCCCTGGTATATCATTTCTCTTCTTTGAATTAATAATCTTAATGTTATTTAGTAAGAGATTATGTTTTGCTTCAAGATGTCTTAGGTTATAGAGGTTATCTTTACGAGTATGTACTTGGAATAAGATAGACTTCAGAATATTGGCTTAGATTTTAATTAGCGATTTAACTAAAGTAATAATTTAATAAATATAAGACAACATAACACATATTGCTCGATTCCAAGTAGCTAAAACACTTATGGAAATTGGAATCAAGGAAGGTTCAAAACATCTAGACCAGAGACAACATAGCAAAGTCCACTTTAATTCGTTTAAAATTGATTCGACAGGAAAGTTCGCCTTCAAATATGTAGCTTGAAACCAACGTGTGAGCCTCTACTAATTATGGATTACATTATATTGTAGTCTTATTTATTTTTAGGTTTATAGGGTTCTCAAGCACATACCAGTAAATATTGCAGTTATATATACTAATATTATAAAGAGGAAAGATTTAATTGTTTGTTTGTTTGAATGGAATACGCTCCGTATTTACAACACCTGTTTTTATATGAAGATTATAAAAAGTAACATAGAACTTACCACAATAGTTTATATTCCTGGAGTGATGGACAGTATCTAAAATCAACACAATTATATATACACAGATAGTGAGTTAGATAACCGCCAATACTTTGCTCTAAAGACAGTGTGAAATAATTAAATACATTTTCTATTCAAATATGTAGCTTATTACAATGGAATAAGAAACATAAAATGGGATATATGTCTAAAATAAATCTTTTTTAAAGGTGAGAAATGTTATCTCCCGCCTTGACCTATGATTGGAGTTTTTACTGAGAAGCCGTTTTTCAGTTTTGTTTACGTCGTTATTAAATAAACTAGTTGTTTTATAGATAGCCTATGTCATCCACGTATGATGTAGCTTCATGTAAGTTAAATAATTTTCATGATAGGAACAGTATTTTTACAGTATTATTAAACAAACAAAGCTAGAACTGTGTGAAGGATATGAAGTTATAGTTATACTTAGTTTATGTGTATCTGTGCTATAGTCAATCTATCGTTTTATGCACAGATTTTAATGATAGCAATTTATTACTTATTACTTAGGTTATTGTTGAAAATTACGAACGTCGGAAGCGACCTGAATACAATGAAAATTATGTTTTAACCGACTACTTCAAAGGAGGTCATCAATTCGAGTTGTATGTATGTGTTTGTTCACGGATCTCGCAAACTTTACGTTGAAAATTTCTATCGAAACACAAAAAGTGGATATACCAAAAATTTTTTGAGGTCGTCGCCAGATAATTATAATATAAATAAATATATATGGTAAGAGAAAAACAGATAATCACTTAAGACACATTTTCTGGTAGTGCCGTTTTACTTCTTATAAATTTTGTGGTATTATTTCTCTTTTTTTCAGTTGTTTTGCAGTTCACTTATTTGAAGCCGATTTAACTTTTTAAGAATTGTTTTTATTCTATGTTGTCTTAGTTATGGTACATTTGTTTTTTTCAGTTCATAACAGAAGAGCATTAGCTTCCTAAAATGGTAACCGAACAATGTATGTGATGTCTTATATATTTATTTATTTTAACAACCATTTATTTTATTTATACTTAAAATAATCATTACTTAAATATTATTTGTATTATAAAAAATAAATAAATACAAATTATAATTTTGGCGAATTAATTTAGTGGGTTATTTAATTTAAAAATGTATTGTTTGAAATTGTTATTCTTTCAAACTAAAATATGTTAGCTTTGAAGTTATTTGTGTATTGTTTGCATCGAACAGGTCCTGGATTTGGGTTCCATCTCAGAGTGTCATGAACAAAGTGGTTTTTTTAAGCATTTTTCATTTTTCAGTGCATTGTGAATGCAAATAGATTTGATCTAATAGATGGATATAATAAACATAATAATTATGTTTGTATACCAAAACCCTGTTTATAAGAGGAAAGAAAGAAGAAAGTAACATAATTTAATACTCTTGAAGAAAGTAACATAATGTAAGTAATACCATAAATTTATAATATGAGTATGTGAGCTAATTAAAGGAAAAAATAAGTAGGATAAGACTTAGGCTTCATCACCAGCCCATATTCGTCCACTGCTGGACATAGGCCTCCCCAATTGCACGCCATCTACTTCGATTTTCGGCTGTTCGCATCCAGCTCCTGCCAGCCATCTTGCGCAAATCATCGCTCCACCGCGCCTGAGGACGTCCTACACTACGTTTGCCGAGATGCGGTCTCCACTCAAGAACTCGTTTACCCCAACGGTTATCGGTTCTGCGGCTAATATGGCCAGCCCACTGCCACTTCAGCTTGCTAATCCGGTGGGCTATGTCGATAACCTTGGGTCTCTGCCGGATCACCTCATTTTTGATTCGATCCCGCGGAGAAACGCCGAGCATAGCCCTTTCCATAGCCCACTGAGCGACCTTCAACTTGTGGACCAGCCGTGCCGTCAGTGTCAACGTTTCGGCTCCGTATGTCATAACGGGTAGGAAGACTTTCGTCTTTAGGCACTGCGGGATCGACGATGTGAAGACCTGACGTAGTTTCCCAAACGCTGCCCAACCTAGCCGAACTCTTCCATTTACCTCGCTCGCGAAGTTGTTTCTACCTGACTGCAATGTTTGCCCGAGGTATACATATTTTGGAACAATTCCGAGAACGGCACCGCATACTGCAATCGGTTCCGGTAGTACGTGTTCGTTGAACATGACCCTAGGCCGATGCGCATAGAAGAGTCAGCCAGGTCATTCAGCATCTGTTGTAGGTCCTGCAGATTTTCTGCCATGATGACGATGTCGTCAGCAAATCTCAAGTGAGAGATGTACTCGCCATTGATGTTGCTTCCACGTCTTTTCCAGTTCAGCGTCTTAAACATATCCTCCATTGCATTAGTAAACAATTTCGGAGACATAACGTCTCCTTGTCTCACTCCTCGATGCAACGGTATAGGACTTGTCTGCAGATTCTGTACTTGGACGGTCATGGTGGCGGCCTCATAAATACATCTTATCACTTGAATGTATCGCCAATCGACTTGGCATCGCTGCAGGGACTCCAGAACGGACCAGATCTCAATCGAGTCAAAGGCCTTCTCATAGTCCACAAATACTAGACACAGGGGCTGATTATACTCTTCAGTCTTCTGTATAATCTGCCGCACTGTGTGGATGTGGTCTATGGTGCCGTATCCACTCTGAAACCCAGCCTGCCCCGGTGGTTGGAATTCGTCAAGCCTTTGCGCGAGACGGTTCGTGACTACTCTAGAAAACAGCTTATAGACGTGGCTTAGAAGGGAAATGGGTCGATAGTTCTTCAGCAGGGTTTTGTCTCCCTTTTTGAAGAACAGGACGACTACACTCCTACTTCACGCCTGCGGAGTTCTCCCTTCGAAGAGGACAGCATTAAAAAGCTTTTGGAGCTCCTTCAGTACCGGTTTACTTCCTGCTTTTAATAATTCAGTTGTAATGTCATCCTCTCCAGGGGCTTTTCCATTTTTAAGCTGTCTCAGAGCGATCTCGATTTCGCCAATGCTGACTTCTGGCAGATCTTCGGTGTAGTAGCGTGTTAATGTGGCTCTAGAATCCTCATTTGCGGGATCAGGTCGAGGTGCATGCGAAGCGTATAACCGGGCATAGAAATTTTCCACCTCTGAGAGGACCGCCGGCTTCGAAGCAACGACTTCCCCGCTTGCTGTGGTCAACTTCGTCAAGTGGCTTCTTCCAAGAGATTGTACGAATACTTTTGACCCCCTGTTATGCTCGATCGCTCTTTCTATAGCGTGAGTGTTGGAGCACCGGAGGTCATGTCGTACGCGTTTGCTGATCTCCTGGTTTTGAGCACGTTTTCCTGACGAAGTGACAGGTGGGTTTTCACGTCGTTCCTTCATTAGCCACAAAGTTCTATCCGAGAGCTTAGACTTCTCGCCCTTACGCTGCATGCTACAAAATTTCGTACCTTCTTCCCTGAGTATTCGAACCACATTTTCGAGGTTCTCGTCAACGTCAATTGTGGTTTCCATGGCAGCGAATCGGTTCTCAGATTTGACTGGAACGTTTCAGATTCCATCATGGTTTGGAGTGGAGTAGGTCGGAGCCTGGCCTTCATCAAGCGGACACGTTCAGCTTTGAAGTCGATATTCAAAGAGCCTCGGACAAGTCGGTGATCGCTGCCGGTATTAAACCTATTGATCACGAAGACATCTCTGAATACGTGTTTTTTGTCCGTTATAATGAAGTCGATCTCATTTTTTGTCACATTGTCGGGGCTTTGCCACGTCCACTTCCTTTGGGGCTGTTTCTTACAGAAGGAGTTCATAAGGAAGAGCCCCTCCCGTTCGAGGAGGTTAACGAGTATTTGCCCCTTATTATTCCTGCTTCCAAATACATGGGATCCTACTACCGATTCGCCGCAATTTTGTACTCCCACTTTAGCGTTAAAGTCCCCCATAACAACGCTGTAGTGGGTCTTAGTAGTGAAGTGTAGTGCCCTCGATATATCATCGTACATATTCTCCACTTCATCGTCCGAGTGTGTCGAGGACAGGGTAGCGTACCTGACTTGAACAAGCTCACTGAGAGGTATAGCCTCAAGGTTGTTCAAGTGTACGCATCGACCTCGACACACTTGGACGATGAAGTGGAGAATATGTACGATGATATATCGAGGGCACTCCACTTCATTACTAAGACCCACTACAGCGTTGTTATTGGGGACTTTAACGCTAAAGTGGACAAAATTGCGGCGAATCGGTAGTAGTAGGATCCCATGGATTTGGAAGCAGGAATGATAGGGGGCAAATGCTCGTTAACTTCCTCGAACGGGAGGGGCTCTTCCTTATGAACTCGTTCTTTAAGAAACAGCCCCAAAGGAAGTGGACGTGGCAAAGCCCCGACAATATGACAAAAAATGAGATCGACTTCATCATAACGGACAAAAAACACATATTCCATGAAACAAACCATGATGGAATCTGAAACGTTCCAGTTAAATCTTGAGAACCGATTCGCTGCCATGGAAACCACAATTGACGTTGACGAGAACCTTGAAAATGTGGTTCGAATACTCAGGGAAGAAGGTACGAAATTTTGTAACATGCAGCGTAAGGGCAGGAAGTTTAAGCTTTCTGATAGAACTTTGGGGCTAATGAAGGAATGACGTGAAAACCCACCTGTCACTTCGTCAGGAAAACGTGCTCAAAACCAGGAGATCAGCAAACGCGTACGACATGACCTCCGGTGCTCCAACACTCACGCCATAGAAAGAGCGATCGAGTAAAACAGGGGGTCAAAAGTATTCGTAAAATCTCTTGGAAGAAGCCACTTGACGAAGTTGACCACAGCAAGTGGAGAAGTCGTTGCTTCGAAGCCGGCGGTCCTTTCAGAGGCGGAAAATTTCTATGCCCGGTTATACGCTTCGCATGCACCTCGACCTGATCCCGAAAATGAGGATTCTAGAGCCACATTAACACGCCACTACACCGAAGATCTGCCAGAAGTTAGCATTCGCGAAATCGAGATCGCTCTGAGACGGCTTCAAAATGGAAAAGCCCCTGAAGAGGATGGCATTACAACTGAATTATTAAAAGCAGGAGGTGAACCGTCTTGCGCAAAGACTTGACGAATTCCAACCACCGGAGCAGGCTGGGTCCGTTCTGGAGTCCCTGCAGCGATGCCAAGTCGATTGGCGATACATCCAAGTGATGAGATGTATTTATGTGGCCGCCACCATGAGCGTCCAAGTACAGAATCAGCTGACAAGTCCTATACCGT